ATGAGCTTTAAGGTTCCTTCCAACACAAACTGTGTATCCCCCACCCATCCTGCCCTGGGCTGGAGGAAGCCTATGCAGCACCTGCACAGAAGTTGTGAGCTAATTTACTGAAGGATTAAATATGCAGTGAGGACAAGCCAGTACTTCCATATGCATTAGCTGTCCACATTTGGACTAACTGTTGTTGGATTACCAAACCATTAGAGCCTGCAAAAACCAAGCACCAGCAAAACACCCAGTGACGGAAACCCCAGGGCCTGTAATCCTATCAATTCAATGTATTTTTAAATTAGCGATTAATAAAAGACCATTTTACTGTTGAAAACATCCATTTTGGCTGCAGCGCTGGAGGACAAACACCAAGTGCTGAGGCATGGGAAGGCCTGTTCTGGCTTCACATGTGTATGTTGACCCCTCTACCCTAGTCAAGTATTTAAGCCCAAGAGATCCCTCCTCCTGGCTACCTGTGGCCTAGTTTCTTCCTCCTCTTGCTCCTGTGTCCATGCTCTTTCATTTCGGTGCCTCCGCGGATAATAGTGCGTGTCTCTGGCTACATTTGAGAACATGTGGATATTTCCTGTCAAAAGAAACCAAGAGAGAGCCATGATGTTCAGCCAGTTGCTGGTACTCACCCCTACTTCTCAGTTTCTAGTTGATTATCCAGGCTTGTACTACACAGCCTGAACTACAGTTGTGAGACCTTAGATTAAGAAGCACAAACACACCTCGGATCTAAAAGTCAAAAGAATATGTTGTTCCAAAAAGTGTACCAGAGAAATTGCAAAGTTCGCCCCAAGTCCATGTTAATTTAAATCAAACTGCAGAAACATGCCACATTTTTTGTTACTCTATCTCATATTTTAATACTGGGTTGGTCCCATTCACTTGCAATGCTGTAGCTTGTGGTGCATCCCCAGGCTGTAAGCAGGAACAGTAATTTGCTTCACCAGGCTCAGGGCATGAATTATGGCTTCCCATAATTACTCAATATGATCTTCTACACTCTTTTCTACTTACTTTTCCTTCAAGCTATTAATAGTTTCACTTAATGATTTTATATTAAGGAAAGAGATTTAAAAAATAGCTTTTCGAGTAACAAAGGAGAACAATTCAGGATTTCCTTTCTTGCACACTGAATGCAGTTGATTTATTTGTAAGAATTCAAAAATGAAGAAAGAATTGCATCTGCTGTTTCAATCTGAAGCCTGAACTTGATTTTATCACCATATGAATGTCTTAATAATGGCTGTGCTCTCCCCTTTTGCATTTCAGAATGTTTTTGTATTAGAGAATGGAAATGTATGGCCTTATCACAACAATAGAAATGTAAATCTATTTTTAAGCCCTGGGAAAGATGTCACATTATTTTATACTCTTATACTGTCCTTTCTCTTCATTTCCCAAAGAATTCTGCAAGAAACCTGTCGGAAGTGACCTTTGCTATTGTGTCAAAACATCTGTTTCCTTGCTTGTTCAAACATTTGTCCAAGGGGCCTGGCATGTTCGCAGGCAGTGCTCCAACAGAGACAACAAACACGGTGGGCTACAAGAAGGAATGTGTCTTTCTTGACAAGAAAGTTTGTTTCTATCATACAACCCTGCTCAGACAGTATTTTATCAAGCTGTGAAAAAACAGAAGCAAGTGTGGGAGGAGAAGAATGACTCCTGCAGGGAGCCTAGAAAAACATTTTCCCAAATTCCTAAGTTTCTCAAAGAATTCCTGCCAGCAGTTTCTTTCCTTTCATGTGCATTTATTTTTTTTTTTAATGAGAAGTTCAACTTGCAGCCTTTACCCACCATAATAAGTCTAAAAGGTGACAAAATTTACAAGTGTTAAAGCATTTTGCTGCCAGGAAGACCGTGAGCTCGCCACACCTTTCAGATTTACTTTTAATCCAAACCTGTATTCCACTGATCTTCCAGTATCTTTGTATTTGTACTACAAATACAAAAGCTGAGGCTGGACTGAGACATGCATGGAGTTACTGCAGGTATGGATCTACTCTTCAGTTACTGGATCCTGCATATCCCGTAACAGCCAGCCTTTCCTGGCAGGCATCACTTTCTCAGCTAAGGGGTTTTCATTTCTTTACAGTATGCAAGCTGCTGCAAGCCAGATGAACTCCTGTGCTTTCCTAGTTACAGGGGTGCTGAGACCACCACACCAGGAGCTGCTGCCATGCATCCTGGAATACAGAAAGGTGTCTCAAGTACAGCACCTTCAGCAAAGACACCTCTGAGCCCTTCCCAGTCACACCTTATTTTACCTCACACCATTGCTGGCTTCTGACAATGGAGGGAATAAAAGCAACAACAAAAAGAAGGGTCTTCAGCTACAGCTGGTATTAAAATGCTGCCTAGTGAAGAATCACACAGCCTAACCCCTTGCCAGACTAAAATGCTCCTACCCCTAATGTGCTGTCAGGAATTTCCAAGAGAGGCTGGGAGGTCTGGAACTTGCCCCAGCAGCAACAGCCATTACTGTGTTGGCAGCTCTCTGTGCTAGAATTCCTGCACAGCAACACTGGGCTTTGACAACACTTTTTGGGGAACAGAGTTGCTAAAATCCTAAGTTTAAAATGTACGTTAAAGGAGCTTTTCCAGGCATAAACACCTAGGAAGGAAGAAATTAGTAAATCCAAAAAGGTTTTTGCTCTTTTCAGATGTAAAATCAACTCTCTGAGCAGCACCAAGAGCACCTGAACTTCCATTATGGCCTAGGGTCAGTTCATCACATTTCAAAAACACTGCAGATACTGACCTGTAGGGAAGTGCCCACCAAAAAACACATTGAATATTTCTTCTGGTGTAATATCTGCTTCAAATTCTGTGTAGTAATTGTAGTGCCTGGGCTGGCCAGTGCTGACATGCTCCTGGTCGCTTCCGAATTCATCGTATCGTAATCGCTTTTCAGGGTTGCTCAGAACTGCAAAAGCATTTCCTATTGCTGGAGAGGGAATTAAAAGAAGTGTTACACAGGTGTATCACGCACTATTTCCAGATCTCAGACTTTTATAAGCAGAGTAGCAAAAAAACCCACACAGGCACAGAAAATTTGTGCTTGACCAAAGATTGAATTACTTTTAAAAGAGTAAAATAAGTGTTACAACACTGGCATTACCTGTGACGGAATTTATTCCCTGCTATCACTGATACCAGGAGAAACACAAAAGTGTTAGAGTATATGGAGAGAGCTGAAGTATTTGTAAAACTGAGGTGAGAGAATCCACTTCAGCCACGAGCCTGAGTGAGGAGGTAACATGCTACCAGATAAGACTAAGCCCTGATGCAGCAGCACACCCCCATATACAGTTAATACAAAGTTAATAACTCCAGAGGCTAATTAAAATGCAGAACGCCATTCCAAGATTTTGTGCCTGGTGACGCTGTACAGCAGATCTATTCCACACTTCATGTCAAACCACCCCAAAGTATTTGGTTCATCATCTTCCTTGACCTTTGACAGAACACGGCTGTAAACAAGTTCATAGCGAAATAGAACCCTAACACAGAAATGTAAAGAAAAGCCCTTCAGAAACTCCTTCTTCTAATAGACTATGAATGGACATCTTACTTTCCTCACGCTGCCTTGCAGGATGTTGCAGGCAGCTGCAACACAGAGAGGGCAAATGATGTCAGTTTACATGCTGTAACATTGTTGACACAGGTCTACATTGCAATGTTACTGAAAAGTCCAGACACAGAACACTGGACTCCAATTTCACATGCTCACATATATATACGTGTGTATATATATATATATAAAGAGTTTATTTATGACACAGAGCAGTTATTGATTACACAACACCACACTCTCCTGCATGGCCAGTAGCATTTCCAAGCATTGTTCTGAGCCTTTTGCAGTACTTAAGAATGAAATTTGGGATACATTCCGTTTTGCTTCCAACAGCAATCTCTATTTTGAGCTTAAAAGGCAAACCTTGCCGAGCAGCAGCAGGATTTTGTGGAGATGTGCAAATCTGCCCGTAACAACGCTGAGCTGTGTGGGCCTGCACGATGCCTTTACATAAGGTGCAGAAGCGGACATGTGGGGAGCCTGCCCTCACTTGCCTCCTGCTCCACGGCTCCCGGACCGGGGCCAGCCCGCCCTCACCTTTGAACGCCTCCGTTGCTCCGGGGGCACGGTTCTTGTCAGGGTGGAATTTGAGGGCCAGTTTGCGGTACGCTCTCTTCAGGTCCTCCTCGCTGGCATCCCTCTCCACCCCCAGGATTTCATAGTAGTTCCGACACCGCTTTATCCTGGGAGCGCACACAGGGTTATCCTCACCGGCCTCTCCCC